TTTGAGAGAGAGTTTCTTGATGAACCTGGAACTCACTAATTCAGCTAGACTGAATGGCCAGAGAGCCCCAGAGATCTTCCTGTCCCCACTCCCCAGCAGATTATAGGCATACATCTAGCTTTTTACGTGGGGGCTGGGGATCTGCACTCACGTCCTCATGCTTGTGTGGCAAGTGCTTCAGGAACTGAGCCATCACCCCAACCCTTTATCCTGATTTTTTTTTTTGGTCTTTTTGAGACAGGTAGCCTCAGCTGGCCTGGAACTCACTATGTAGACCAGGCTGGCCTCGAACGCCTAGAGATCCACCTGCCTCTGCCTCTCAAGCACTGGGATTTATCCTGATTTTTATCCAAATCCTTGGGATTTACCCAAAGTCACACAGCCAAAATAAGAATTTAAGCTCACCAGGCAGTACTCCTTCAGCTCCACTCCACCTGGCCTGTGGCATCTTCCACCTCACTGGGCCACTGGATGCTATCTCTGTTTTTCCATCTTTTCCTTCCCCTGGATTTACCCCCATAAGTGCCCATCTACAGTCTCAAGCATCCCCTCACCGTCAAACTTGTTCTTTGAACATATTGCTCGTACTTGGGTCCAAGTGGCTGGCCACTAAAATTTCCCATGGGGGAAACTACATATTTATGAGGGATCAAAGATTTGGGCTTAAGGGCCCAACTCCTATTCATGGATTTTTTTAGCCATAAGCTAACTAAGAAAGGAGGAATCACACCAACAAGTGCGATGCCTAGATTGTTGGCCAGAGGCTACTACGCTTTCTTTTCTTATTTATAATTAAGTAATTAAGTTAGTGGGGGAAGGTGTATGCATACATGACTTGTGACTTATCCTGAGTGTGAAAATCAGAGGACAATTTGCAGAGTTAGGTCTCTCCTTCCACCATGTGAGCCTCAGGGATTAAACTCCGATCCTCAAGTTGGCTGGCAGGTCCCTCTACCCACTGAACCTTCTTGTCAACTCTGAAACTAGGCTTTCTTGGGCTGTCTTTCCTCCTCTGCACCATCAGCCTCCTATGTGCCCTCCACCCTCACAGGCAGGTGTCTTGGAGACAACAGAACCAGCTCAGGTCCAAGCCAGCAGGTCTCTGTCTTACAACTGCTCTGCCCCCATGTGGCAATTCCTGAGCCTCAACCTCCCTCTCCCTCAGATGAGCCAGTTGGGTGATATTTCTGGTTCCTTTTGCTCTCCATATCTGGCTCTGACAGGTGGAGCCACACAAACTATAGCAGAGTAAGTTCAAACTTACAGATCGCTTACTGTGTCTGGGCACTTTTCTAAGAGCTCCACGTGTATGGTCTCATTTAATGGTGATCCCCACATTGTGAGGCATTGTCCGTGTTTTGCAATTGCAGAAACTGAGGCCCAAAGGTTAATTCTACTTGTTCAAAGTCACTCTTCCACTGTGGGGTGAAATATGATCTCCAGACATAGAGGTATGCTTGGGAAGGTGTCAGAGGGGCAGTTAAAACTCAGGGTCTTTCACATGGTCGCCAGCAGGTGTCAGCTGTGGCTTGCTCACATGCCCAGTGGATAAAGCTGATGACTGGCAGCCCCATGTTGCTTCCTTAATGGCTTCTCAAGCATGGAGTCTCTACATACTCAGGCATCCTGGGTTGAGGCTGGCTTCTTCCAGAATGTTGAGCCAGAGAGAATCAGGAGAAAGTTACTTCAGAAAGGTTGTAGTTACTACACCCTCTGTGTCCTACAAATTAGAAGATAGTCACTGAGCTTCACCAGGTTTTAAAGGGAGAGGACATGGACCCTATCTCCCAATGGAAGGACGAAGATTGTACACATATTTTAAAAGCCCCACAGTGGCTCTGCTGATAAGAGGTAAAGCTGGATTTTGACCCTCCAAATGTTAGCTCAGGATCTGGATGCTTAATTTCCATGCATAGTTCTCAATATGCAGGCTTGGACGTTCCTCTTGGGTCCCTGAGACCCTTTCCCTGGTTTCAGGCCAAGGTCCTTGACCTCCATGGCTCTCCTTCCATGTGCTGCCATGAATTTATTTGCTCTGGTATTGGGAGACCAACAGAGTGATGGGAAAAGCACAGACTTTGGAGCTGGGCTGCCCCAGACTTCAATCTCTTTCTTTCCCTGAGACCTTGGGGACAGTCAATTCGCCTCTGTAAGTCTCAGATCTTTGCCTGTAAATGAGAGAGAGAGGTGCTATGGAACCTCCTTCATAAGCTAGTATGAGAGCTTATTCATTCAATTAATACCTAGTTATGTGAGCACTTTTTGCCAGCACTCTACTCGGCTCTGGGGAAGGGACAGAGAAAGGGAATGAGCAAACAAGACAAACATATATTCTCCATGTGTAGTATGGTTAGATAGCGATAAGAGCTATAAATATAAGCCGGGCGTGGTGGCGCACGCCTTTAATCCCAGCACTTGGGAGGCAGAGGCAGGCGGATCTCTGAGTTGGAGGCCAGCCTGGTCTACATAGTGAGTTCCAGGACAGATGGGGCGACAGAGAGACCCTGTCTCAAAAAGACAAAAAAAAAAAAAAAAAAAAAAAAGAGCTATAAATAAAGCAGGGTAGCGACGATTTGGCATTTCAGGCCGGAGTCGTGAGGGGAGACGTTATCAGGGAAGAGGCAACTGAGCAAAGAGTGAATCTTGAGCTTTCTTGAAAGGAGAGTGATTCTGGTAGAGGAAAGAGTGAGCCCATTGGCTCTGAAGCCAGGTGAGCCACTGGGATGCATCAGAGATGAAGAAGGAGCAGTGGTACAGTCAATGAGGTTAGGACCATGTAGAATTTGGACTCTGGATGAGATGGGAACCATAAGGGTTTGGGGGAGAAAAGTGGTCAGTTTTTGGTTATATTTTGGGTGTAGAGGATGGGGGTTGCTGATGGATTGAATATGGAGGGAGGGAGGAAGAGAGAGGAAAGAGGAGTCCAAGATGTATGTTCTAAATATCTAGAAACAATGAAACTGCCGTTTACTAAGATGGGGTGACTATGTGGAGTGCTCTATTACATCCCACTGCTCTCTAGGTCTGAGTCACTCCTGAGAAGAAGTGACCTCAGGAGTACTTCCTTTGTGCTGGGCACTGAGCTAGGTGACAGAATGGTAAGGATGATCCAGGGATCCCTGTCTTTTCATAATTCCCTTCTTGACGTGTCAAGGAAATGACATCACCACCACGATTAAGTTACAGGATAAGATAAAGGGTAAAGGCGGGTGTCTAGATATATCTAACTTAATCACAGGACACTTTACAAGCAAAGTGTGTTCTTACATTAGTATTCAGTGGGGAGTTAGAGAGATCAAAATCTGAGAAGGGCTCAGCATCCCTATAGTGACTTTGAAGATGGAGGGACTATGTGCAAGAGTCAAAGAACTACTGGTCAGCAAGAAAACAAAGACTCCAGTCCTACAACTACAAGGAATTGAATGCTACCAGCAACCTCAATGATCTTGGAAGCAAGTTCTCCAGAACCTGTAGACAATAGCCATATTGGATCAATGTTTCATGAGACTCTTAAGTAGAGATCCCATCTGAGCTGCCCAGACTTCCAACCTAGAGATTGCACACTAATAAGTGATGCTGCTTTCAAGCCACTTGATTGGTTATGCAGCACCCCCAAACTAATATCCAAGACCATTCAGAATGGAGGGTTCTTGTCACCATGGCATGAGGAAATAGGTCAGTGAGATGGAGGGTGCCACAGAATGGACTGAAACCCTGAGCCATCACAGATGGTTGCCTCATAGGAGAAGTTGGAGCAGCTGGGAAGGAGATCCACTTTTGCTGCTGGGGCAAGCCTCTGGTCATGCAGGTTGGGAGGGAAGTATGGGTTTGTGATTGTGCTTATCTGTCTATACCTGGGCTCTGAGTGTATTAAACTGTGGGTGTGAAGCTGAGGACTGTGGTCACTGGGGGTGGATACATGAGAGAGTGTATGCTAGTGTGAGCCTGCGGCAGTGCCTCATAGTCGGGGGCTGAGGGCCTCTGTGCATCAGAATGTCTATCAGTCCCTGGGAATGACTGAGCCTCTATGGCTGTGTCTGTAGGTATGACTGTGTCTGAGGGTGACTGTCCTAACATAGGACACTCAGGTAGCTGCAGGAGGAGGAGTGTTGAGTGTATGTGAGGTAGTCTGGGGCTGTGTGTTTATCCAAGCCCCCAACCCCGAATTCTAGCATGTCTGTGGCTAAGTGTGGGTGCATGAATGTGTGTCTAAACTTCTATGGGTTTTGTGAGATCAGAGGGTCTCCCCTACGTGGAAGGCTGTGTAGCAAGAGTCTGTCGCTCCCAGTGACTCTGCAGGTCCTGTGTGCCATCTGAGGGTGTGTGGGTGTATCTGCCTGTATGTCTCTAGGAGTCTATGTGTGTCCTGGATTGGTTGTTTAGGTGTCTTTGAGGGTGTGTCTGTGCAGGTGTCTGTCTGGCCCTGAGTGTGAGAAAGTCCCCGATGTGTCCTGCACAGTGGGTGCATCTTTGTGGGTACATGTGCAACCGAGTGTCTCCACCCCAGCTGGAGTGCGGGGTGGGGGGCGGGTGCTGGTTTCTTGCGTTCCTGGACTGCGTCCCTCTGAGATCATCTGGGTCTCCGGGTGAGGCCTGCTTGGGCCGATGGCTCGGATGGACGGCTGCCCATGGACTGTGTCTGAGGACTCGGAGTCACGGGTGGCAGCGGGCACCGAGGTGGAGCCGCAGCAGCGCTGCGCAGCCTTGCGGCGGCCGGGCGCGCGCACCTGCCCGGCTGCGGGCGGTGGCGGCGGCGGCGCAGCCTTCACCCTCTGGC